ATCCCTTAGGAGCTGAACTAGGTAATTAGTCGTTATTACTATTATTATTACCATTATTATTATTAATATTAGTTTACATATGAAAACCAAGTGTCACAGTCGTTTAAGTATCATATATATATATATATATATAGTGTAGAAAAGACTAAAAGATAGTTAGACCATTATTATTCAATAATAGCATATCTTATCAAATCTAAAGATTGAAAACAAACAAGACGAAAAAGGAAGAGAAAAAAGAACAGAAGAAGACGTTCAGATGACCATTGAAAGGGTGAAAGTGAGTGAGTGAGTGAGTGAGTGAGTGAGTGAGTGAGTGAGTGAGTGAGTGAGTGAGTGAGTGAGTGAGTGAGTGAGTGAGTGAGTGAGTGAAATTGAAATCACGAAAATGTCTGTATGTATACGCACGAATGTATACATGTGCGTATACACAGGTGTGTAAATATGACCTGCTGTCTCATAATAATAATAGTAATAAGTGAGCAGATAAGATAAAAATTACCAGCAGATATACAAACACACAAAACAAACATAAGAAGAATCTTGAAAAAATACAGAACAGAGAAAAGTTTTGTTCTCTGAGCTGGATGGTTAATTTGCGAAGCTTTCATCACTCTACTGGGTGACTGGGAGAAAAGTAATAGTCAAAATTGTAAGCAATTATTTTCCTCGGACGATAACAGTACTGACTATGAGTCTCCTCAGTGGTGGAAATACCACCATTCACGAGTCTTGAATAGGACGAAACGTGCCTAGATCCCACTACTAGCTTAGTTACTATCAACCAACAAACATTTTCACCACTGTTTTGTAGCACATGATGTATTTTGATATAGTTGAGCCTTAGTACCTTAATGATGGTGTCTCTGACAACGACACTAGACCATGCGAGTTCAAATCTCTGAAGAGATATCTTATTTATTTATTTATTTTATTTTTGATTACAGCTTCATTCCACACCGTATTTTTGGAACACGTATGGAATTTTCAGCGTGGATATCGGTAGCCCAAAATTCGCAGGCCGACCATAGATATCGGGTGTGCGTCGGCGTGGGCTCGAACCCCGGACCATGTGCATGGTCGGCGAGAGTCCTAACCACTGTGCCACCGACGCCACTCGATCGCTAGTACACTACCTAATTGGCTACAAATGGTATCAAGCAGGAAAATCACGTCAAGGACTTGCTACCAATTCGAAGCAGACCATAGTGGGGAGTCACTCTGGCTTCGTGACAAGCATTCGAAGTTAATAAATGGAATTTAGTCGGCACCAACACAAATGACTAGAAAGATGCGATTGATTACTCCCCTAATCTATACAGACCTTAATCCGATCTTATCTAACAGCCTTCACAAAAAAAGCAGAGCAACCTTAACGTTATATTCATGAAAATCCAGATGATTATTAGGTTATATTATTATGCTTTTATTATTATTAATATTCCTATAATTATCATAATTAAGCATATCTCGATGTATGATTGACATCTTTGTTTAACTAATACTATATATAAATTCTACCTCTAGTATATAAGCTATACATTATCGTTAACAATAGTTCTAAAATAGATATTGCGTATTTTGTTATATGTATGTGTACACAACCCTGTACTTCACCTAACTGGTATACATACATACAATGCATACACTGAGAGTTAATGTTCATTTGCATGTGAAGTTTGAACTAGTCAAATGTAACAGCTAATCGCGTATACATACATGCAAACTTTCTTTATGGTTGTCAACTTTGAATGTTAAAAGTGGTGGTCTTGAAGAGGCTAACTGTTTGTTACCATACTTACCTATGTTCTATCTCCACTGTTAAGTAGTATAACAATATGGTGATGAATAATATTGAGGTTAGGAGTAAATTATTAAGTAGGGGGGGGAGGGGACAATCAATTAATGAGGTTGTCAAGCTGCATTGATTGAGATGGTGAAGACACCTACCAAGCTATCGTCTCCCATGTCGAAAACTGTTATCTGACATAAGATTGAGGAGAGGCCAAATCAAAATCTGGTACCAACCGATGAAGAAGTGTCTGAATGTCAGTTTGAGCCACCCATGTAGGGAGATGTATGCAGTCTGACTGGGTTCCTCAAGATACAAAGAACTTATTGGAGTGAGACTGTTGACAGTATGGCCACAAAATCGTTCCCAGTGGTGGAAATGCATTTACTCTTTATGAACTCTCAGACATTAAATCCTCATTATTCTTCATGGGATAATTATTCTTCCCTCACCTCAACCCCACCCCTGTTTATTACCGTTCCTTACAATTTCTTTATATTCTTCTTCTTTACTTTTATGTGTGCTAGAGGGAGTGTTGCGACTTGGACTCCTGTGTCCTTGTAGAAAGTTCTATGTTGACAACCTAATCAATCAGTCAGGCAGTCAGGAACCAAAACTATTTCCACCTACTTAGTTGTGAAAATCAACGGTCTAAATACCAGGATGCGCATTCCGTCCTATTTGGGACTCGTCAGTTGGATGTACCTGCATTTCTCAGTGAATGATGATGTTCCCACTGAGGCTCGAACCCAGTGCCCATAGTTTCAAAGCCGACATGTCAACCTGAGACCGAGCACTTCGGTCCAATCAATCGACGGGAAAATCCAAAATTCATTTAAATAATTAATATGACCCGTTGCACAAGAGGTGGCTCCCTTGGCGCAAGTGGTCCAGTGGATGAGGCTTTGAAACTATGGGCGCTGGGTTCGAGCCTCGGTGGAAACATCATGACTAACTGGGTAATGCAGGTTCATTCGGATGACGAGTCCCAAATAGGACAATATGCGCATCCTGAATTCCACTGCTAGTCACCATACACAAATTAAATTCTAATTAAATGCCAGACATCGTCGAAGCATCTGCACAAGAAGCCGACATGTCAACCTGAGACCGAGCACTTCAGTCCAATCAATCGACAGGAAAATCAAAAATTAAACTAAATACCTAACATACGTTGTTTTTATTCATTTCATTCTAAATGGGAAATAAGACTTCAAGCTAAAAAGCTTTGCATTCTCAGTAAAGCAATGGTGTTATTCTTACACGACAGGTATTGCTAGTTGCACTCATAACCTTTCCGCTTTTCGGGACTTCCTACAGGCTAGAAAAATGGGCGGGGAGGTGGTTGGGGATTGGAGTGTTTTAGTCGAGAATCGAACCCTGACCTCCTCCTGTGCGATTGGCAAGCATCCTACCATCAGTGAACCACCAACGCTCACTTAATGTATATATCTATATGTGTTCAAAACAAAATTTCATATTACCCAATTTTAATAAAGTCATAAACTTCAGCATTATCATGTCAAATCACCCACTGCTTAGTTGGGTTGTGTGTGTGTGTGTGTGTTCTTTGATTGACAGAAAGAACTAGGTCAATAGTATATACACTACAGACTAAAGAGGGAACTAGACAACAATACACTTTAAAAGAAAGCCTTAATTAATTTATTCATTTTGTGTACAGATGAACCGGAAGATGAGAGGCAGAGAGAGAGAGAGAGAGGAGAAAACTATACAACAAGGAAAGAAAGGCAGTTGTGGTATGAGAGAAACTCACAAAACGAATACAAAAATGTAAATGCGAAATGTGTCTTATTGAAGTGAATGAAATGGAGGGAAAAAAACAACAACGAACAATTGGACTAGAATCGATTGTTGTTATTATTATTATTATTATTTATGTTTATTTGTTTGTTTTTTAACATTTTTTTTCTATTAAGTATGAAAATAATTGACCTTTCTTTACAAACCAAAATAGGCAAATAAAGTGATATCGATTAGGCTGAGGTGAAACAAAGATTATGCTAGTCTGTTTCCAACACAAATAAACGATGATAATTCCAATAAGATAAGGTGATGTGGTTAGCAGTTCGAGCCATACAACTCAGCTGGTATAGCACACCCAACTACTGATTTGAAGACCAGTTTTAGTTCGATTCTTGCCGTAACCTAGACTTTTACTCCACCTTCACAATCACTACGAATTATATCCATAACTTATTACGAATTAATTAATATCTCTGATTACAGAACTGGGTGACAGAAGCTCGAATCTCCGACAGAGTACCAATGCCTTTGAGGTGACAACTCACCATTACTAGTGAATATGCACAAAATCCAGATCTAACACCTCTTGACGACTGTATTCAACTACCATTATGCCAATTTAGAAAGCATCCAGATGGCGACTCTCCCAGCTTCGTGGACTACGCAGCAAATTTAAATAACAAAATTCGACCAGCGCCAACACTAAGGACAAGAAACAGGAACGATCAATGTACACATTACAGTACTATACAAGAGGTTAGTCGTGAGCCTCGACTAGCTACCTTAGTGGTAGAGACACCCCACTAATAAATTCTAATAAACATAAAGCTTAGCTTCCAGAAGGCAACCTGCCGATAACAACAACGGTTATACCACAGTGACCAATTTTTTCTTCCTTTTTTCTCTTTTCAGTGGAACATACGGATTCAAGCTTGAGCTTTGAATTTTCAGTAGCAGTGTCATGTTTATTCCTTATGGGATCAGGTTGCTAGTCTCCCTTCAAAACTACCACCTTTGCCGAGCCTACCACAGACTAAGCGAGGGTTGAAAACGCGTCGACTGCGAACTGTGAAGCCTGATTGGTGAACATTCCTACCACTGAACCACGGACGCTTAGTGTGACCAGTTAATGTATGCGAACAAAAACCTTTCTCTACACAGAGTACATCAGGTCACATTTAGAATCAACAAACAAGTACACAGCTTATCGAACAAACAATACAACCTTAATTAATACAAGCATTATTCCAGTCACATCTAATGGATGACAGTCAATGAGTCAATGATAAACATTGACATCTCAATGAAAACCTTATAGAAATCAGTTCCCTATAAGAAGATTAATCCTGTATTTTACTGTAAGTAAAAGTTATGTTTTGCGGCGAAACAAACAAACAATCAATAACTGTTGTAAGTAATAAACGCAATGTAACAGAAGGACTTACATTGTTTCCGTGAAAAGTGATGATGGATCACTACGCGAATACTCATTCATACATCCATTTCTAATTTGATTGCTTGCATTACTGTTATTATTATGATTATTATTTTGACTAATATTACTAATTGGATTTGAAGCTGTATTTTCATGATTCATCAATGGGATTCGATGCGATGATGACAAAGGCTCCTTACCATCAACACCACGACCACCACCGCTGCTGCCATTTAATGTAGCCATAGTTAATGCATACAATTCCATAAAACGCGGGTCATTAAACAATTGATTAGCTGTTTGTGAGTCAATACCCATGAATTGTTTTAATAAATTTTGATGTGGAAGTAGTGACGGATTTGAGTTGATATTTGACGACAATGACGATGTCGAGGATACTGATGATGATGATGGTTTTGTTGGTGTTGACTGTAATACTGACGACGACATTGGTTTAAATTGATTGAATTGTGAATTATGATGCATGGAATTTAACATGCCTTCCCGACTACCTGCTCTCGACGCTTTATATGCATGAATTACTGACGATGAAACATCGATGCAAGAATTACGCTGTCCAGATGACATCATCTTGTTCATGTTGAGATTTTGATTTGATGATACCACATGATGACCAGATGACAAGGATGGGGAGGAGGAAGAGGAAGTGGCGGCGGCGGAGCATGAGGAGGACAGTGGTAGTGAAGAATATTTTGACATATTATCATATATTCGATCAATGTTATTATTATTACGACTGGTTAAATTCATCATCATTCCACTTTTAGGCGTTTCATTATTTCTGTTATCTGTAGTAATAGTACACCGGTCTGTATATGTAGCGTATTCATGCTGGGAATGTGTAACAGATGATGATTTATCATAATTATCATAAGCAGATGATGGAGCATCGTATTGTTCGGATCGTCTATGCATTCGTTTCTTATTATTGCTGTTAGTTGGACTAGGTTTTGGTGATTTTATATTAGTTAACTGAGGCTTATAATCATCTGATGTTGAATGAGGTGAGTGGTGCATAACTTCATCGGTTAGAGCAGCCACACTGAATAAATGATGTGGTTTATTATTATTATTGCCACTATTCGATTCAGTTCTTTTACAATTATCTGATAAAGGATTTGTAAGCAATGGTTTAACACCATCAATATCACATAGTTTAGCTGAAAAAACACAAAAACAAATACATACAATTATTGTAATACTATTAGAGTATTAACACAGTGAGGGTTAAAAAAAAACTAGAGAATGACTCATTTTTACTCTTGAATGACTCCAGTTACAATAAGACTTCACTAACTCTCATACAAATGAGAAATGTCAATTGTCAGATTTAATCAGTTGGAGAGATCACTGAAAACTGGGGAGCACTGTGAACACATGTTTCATCCCATTTTGGGACTCCTCATCTGTACACACCCACGAATCTATCAGGAATCATCTAACTTGGGACCTTCAGATTATGGTACCAAGTTTGTTGACTATTCAGCCTGCTTGTGCTGGAATTCAGTGATCACCAAGGCCTATCAGCAGCTAACAAATGTAATTAATGCAAACCCCAAAATATGAATAACAACTGGAAATGTAAGCCTTATCAATCTATAACAATTACAAGTACCAATGACACAATGAACATGCCCTTCACACACATATACATACACAATAGATGCTAACTAACTGAGTTGCACTATAGAACTTTGCATAGAAGTGCAGCATTTAAAGTTGCCACACTACATGTAGCGCACGAAGGTAGAGAAAAAAAGATTCAGAAGAATTATAGCAAGCAGAAATGTGAGTTAGAAAGAATAGTAACGTCGAAAAAAAAACGATGGTTGAGTGGATGTGTGAGCCTACAAAAGGCTGAATTTGTATCTGCGCCATTGAGAAAGATTTTACGCCATATCACCAATAGGCCCTAGACACTGGTTCTTACCATCCCGAGCACTCTCAGCCTGTATCACTCTTATACTTGTCAAACTCTATTGATTCTCTCCACTCATCTTCTTGTCTACCTCTGTGTGCTATTTGGAACGTGGCAACTCGAACTGCTGCACTTCGGTGCCAAGTTCTATGTTGAATCCAGACAGACAGTATCTCCCTATGTGACTCAAACCAACACTCCGAGTCTTCATGAACTAATGTGAAGTTGTGGCTCAGTGGTTTAGGCATTCGACTTCCAACCACGGAGCCACAGATTCGGATCCACCTCCACTTACCGGGGTTTAAGCACACAATATGTGCAGCTCATTACCAACTGTATGGGAGTGCAATTGAATAACACCAAACATCAATCTATCATGGGCTGATGACAGGTTATGGTTTTACCTTCCCTAACGCTTTACCAACTTAATCGAATGTCGGCAAACACTGCTCATCGACGAAGGCGATACCCCATGATATACTCAGCTTCCCGACTACTACAACCTTACGAAATTTACTGATAGATTTCGGTCAAAACCAACACACTAAGACAGATGACACTGGCTACTCCCCTAGAGACAAATTCATGTATTCATTCCAATCCTCTAGAGGAGGTCAAACGTGAGTCCCCCACCCCATCCGAATAGCTCAATGGTAACGTCTCTGAAGGCGGTGATAGACTGACATGGGTCTCAATCACCCACAAGGTTGCAGATACACCTTGTTGACAAGTATCCACAAGCACGAAGCCTAAATCAAACAGGTTTTCTTTCTATTACCTTCAACCACTTCGACCACTAATAATAAATGATCAAAAAGGAAATTTTCGCAACGATTATACGCACATACTGTAGCACACACAGGGACACACACACACACACACACAAGCACATTAATTTAGCCAGTATACTACTTAGTCCATATCGAAATGAAATTTTTAAAAATAATTCTAGAGCATAGTGAGAATAGCCTATATGAAGAAAAGTCATACAAAGGTATTCAGTGTTGGTTTGTAGGGATTTGATTGGTTACAGGATTTTCATCATGATCTGACATTAGTCAGAGAACCATTGGAAAACCTGCTGGGAGTACTGGACAGCCAGTTGTTTCGTCCTAGTTTGGGACTCTTCATCAGTACTCACCCACCGCCAGGGTTCGAACCCTGGTTACAAGGTGAGCTAGCTCGTAGACCACTAAGCCACTGGGACCCAAACCAGTGGCCAGCCGATGAATTCTAACTTCTGCGAATTCACAACATAGCGCGACCACCAGCCAATGCCTTCGGCGAGTATTTGTCCTCACACCCGACCTGCTGCACCCTACTGGTCACGATTTTTCACTAAAACCCAGGTAACTACCATAAGGTGCTGGGTTCGGAAACCGGTGGGTACGTACTGTTGAAGAGTCCCAAACTAGGCTGACGAAACAGCTGTCCAGTACTCTCAGTCGGTTTTCCAATGGTTCTCTAACTAATGTCAGCTCATGATGAAATCCTGTAATCATACAAAGGTAGTAAGTAATTTAAGAGAAGATAATTATCATCTTTTTATGTTACGATGATTAGTATTTTTTCTGTAATCAATATAGATAAACAAATAATCAACCACTAAACGAATGAAACAAGAAGATGGAAAGTTTTCTTTTCCTGAAAAAGTTAAATAAATAAATGTTTACATTTTCTTCCGCCGATAATAAACAAAAGGAAACAATAAAGAGGGAACAAATAAACAATTTTACTGAAAACAGACAGAATAATGATGGGAGAGAGAGGGTGCTGGGGGTGGAGGGTAAAGTAATACAATACAATGTAAGTTATAAGCAGAAACTGTAACTGCCTGACTGACTGATTGGCTGATTGAACAACAAAGCAACTTACAAATTTCGGACAGAGATGAATGAATCAGTTTCACGTTACGGCATATTTTAAAATGAAAAAAACATCTCTAGCTTAGTAAAGAGACTTTTTTTCAGCAATTTCACCTCTTTTTTAGCTGTACAATCTCATCTATGTATGATGTTTTTGTTCACAGAACAGGATACTAACCCAAGAGATAAGTTGTCATAGGCAGGAAGAGAAATCTTACCCGTTCTCTATGCCCAGAACTTGGAACATTTTCTCTGTAGATACGATCGAGATAAAAATAAAAACAGTTGATATTCTAGAAGGTGTATTGACAGAAACGTCAAAAAAGAAACCATCCCCAGCCAAATCGCAGTGCCAAAGAAGACTCCATTTATGAGTTTGGCTTTCAAAGGTGACAATAATTAAAAGTCGTTTATCTAAATGTATTAAATGCTCTTTTTATGCAGCTAACTTACATTTAGTAATTACCAGCCGAAATATGATTCCACAATTAGTCAAGCGTAAACTACCGCTTATGTCCATCTCTATGTACATATACTCACTCATATGATTGTATGGATGTGATTACATTGGACGATGTAAGCGTGTTGTCCGTAAACGAGTAGCTGAACACTACCACCAGGTTTGGTTAATGAAAGGTGTGCAAAGGACGACAAGGTCCTTAATCTGTGAACACCTTCTGGAGTTAGGTCATTCAGTCCCAAGCGATTTATTACATAAAGTTATCGATAGGACCAAAACCAACCACTCCAAAAGCTAAAGATTTCTTCATCATGCATAGCAGAGGCTCTCTAGCTATACATGGACAAAAACATAAATTATGTGTTCAAAAACGTTTTGTCAAATCCCTTGCTTTACCTTAGTCATAGTAATTAATTTTCTTTGATTTTAATCTATTTTACCACTTGAACTCATTCCACTTCATCGTCATCTTCGCTGTCTTTACTGTTATTATATCACACTGTTAATTTTTAGACACTTGACCTACAATTTTAAAATCTTTATACCAGTTCACTTATTCAATAATGTTTAAGAGTTTGGTTCAACTCTACTACTTTAATTATGTTTATTCTTATCATATGAGTAATTATTGACTGAGCAATTTCTAGTGCCACTTAATGCCTTTTCCATAATAATAAATACGATTTTACAGCTTGAAAATGAAGTCGTTGAAAAGAAACATTTTCTTTTCACTGAACAAAAACTGTGTTTTACCCTATCAGCAATATAAACTGTGAATAGGGGTGACAGATTATGTGATGAGATAAATTATTATTATTGTATAGATGGGTTGACATAAGGGTGGAACATATGAACAAAAGAAGTGAGATGTTGCATAAGAATGGCATGGAGGATTTCATCATAAGCTGACATCAGTTAGAGAACTACTGGAAAACCTGAGAGTACTGGACAGCTGTTTCGTCAGCCTAGTTTGGGACTCTTCATTAGTACGCATCCTCCGGGGCTCGAACCCAGATCTTCTGGTTACAAGGCAAGCCAGCTCGTAGACCATTAAGCCACTGGGACCCAATCCAATGTCCAGCCGATGAGTTATAACTTCTTCCAATTCAAGACATAGCGCGAGCATTTCGCAATGTCTTCTTCGATGAGCTACCCCCTCATCTTCAACCTGCTCTACCCTACTGGTCACAGCTTCCCAAACTAGGACGAAACAGCTGTCCAGTACTCTCAGTTGGTTTTCCAGTGGTTCTCTAACTGATATCAGCTCGTGATGAAATCCTCCATGCAATCAAGCAAAAATCCCTACAAACCAATACCTGAAAATTACATAAGAATTCCTGCCAGGTGATCTACATACTCCTGTATAATTCAAGACGTCGTCGGCAGGCACTATGCTTTCCTTATTACATAAGTTTATTTGATGAAATAATACAACACACCATTAATAACTGGATGACGTTGTGAACATAAATTATTGTTGCTCATAATCATTTCAATTTTAGTCATACGGTTTCACAATTTTTCTTATACATTCTTTCTTTCTTCCTCTCTTTCTGTCTGTTTCTACAACTTCCCTTTGTTGTTTGTTGCCACTTTACATATCTCCAGTATAGGCGGAGTTGCGTCATTCCAACTGCACGATAAACAATCGATGAACAAAGTTTCAGTGATTGACCTCCCTCTCTCTCCACCCAACTATATAACTTTTTAATACTCTCACCCTGTTCCACCCACCCTATTTTGTGATAACATCCAAGTGAATGCAATGCAACGACTGAACTTTTTCCAGGTTATTTAACTTAACAAGATCAATCACTACAGGTCTAGCTGGTTTTCACGCCTCAAAAATCTGCTTCACCTGCCCTACTAGTTCGACCTGTACAATTGACCTCACTAACAGTCATTACATGGTATTTGTTAAATTATACTCTTCTTCTTAATTGGATCTTACAAGTCCTTAAGCCAACAAAGTTTATGACTGAGATAGTTGGTTGGTTGGTTTAAATGCCACCCTAATTCCAGTCTCATCAAGAATCTTACATAAGGCCTCTTGACGTCCCTTCCTTATACGGCAGTGTTACAGAGGCTTGCAATTCTATAATATTTTAATTTTTTTATTTTAGCCATTTTCATTACTAATCTTATTTTTTCTATAAGTCCTCATACATTTCTGGATAAATGTTGCTACGTCTATTTCGCGGATACGGAAAGTGGCAACAAAAAAGAAGTGGAAGAGAGGGAGAAAATCAATATATAAAGCAAATCATGAAGTCCTGTAACTAATCGACATGATTATGAGCAATCAATTCTGCTAGAAGCGTCATCCAGTTATTAACACTGCATCACTCACTGTATGACTATTATTATTATTATTTCCTTTAATTCCTAGAGGAACATAGGGCTTCAGCCGCCCAAGTCTGCATTGCGTTCGGTTCTCTGCCAACGTTTTCACCCCGCTCCAAGTCTGCCACTGTGTCCAAGTTCTACACTTACATTAACTTTGCTTTCCTCTATCACTTAAATATACCTATTATAATAGTTAGAGAACACAATCTGAAGAAATATATATACATTTACGATAATTTCTCATCAGATTTTAAAACCCTACATAATAAAATTGTTAAGCATAGGTATCTGATGTCGAGTTAGTCAATAGAATTACTGTGCATTTATATATTTAACTGTTCTTATTATGGAAATAGTTACATAGGTAAGCCCACCACCACCTTCATGCGCACTGTCCAGCGTGGTTAGATACAGAACTTGTAAGATCAGCCAGGAGTTTCATATTCTTAAAGTTAGACTGACAGTAATTCAGTTCTTTGCCATTCTATACAAGGTGCCGACCTTAATTCCCTAGGTTTGTACACCTTTGATTGCCAAGCATAACTGAGGCAGGCAGTCATCATTAAGAAAATATTTAAACCGAATCTGTGTGTTCAGACAAATTTTCTTCTCCGACACACACATTCCTCTCCCATTGGGTATGAAACCCAATGACACCGGATAATCATAACTATTAACTTGATTTATGACTGTTATCTTTATTTTCATTATCATTTGATCCCTACTGTGTTATAACTGCGCCTTCTAATCTTGGTTTCATGATTTATTATAAAAAATAATAATAAACGCTCAAATATCTAATCACTAGGACATAATATATATACATATATTTATTTTTCCTCTCTACACGCCTACAAACGTACACATTCTATGTACACATATTCAAAACAATTGACTACTTAGATTATATAAACATTGGATTTATCCTTGTTATCATTATTATTATTACGACCAGCTTGGTTATTATCTACTACTATTTCTCAGCTAACTGAACTTCAATTCTCTTAGCTAGATTAGTTTCTAATGTCTGTGAATGATAAAATTTTACTGTGTAATTATAAGGCCTGATTAGAAGTTACAGAAAATACGCAATTGTTTAGATTGTATTCTCTAACTACCTACAACTATTATTATTATCGCTTTCGCTTCTAACTGGGACATAGGACTTCAACAGCACATTTCTACATTTTACTCTGTTTTCTGATATCTTTTTCAGCTGACTTTAAAACTGCCTATGAGCTCTCATATCGTCCTCACACGATCTCCACAATAGCGCACTTGGAAGCCCAACTCCTCCTTTCCCATCCAGATTCTTTTCCAAGGTCTGATGAGCGGTGTTACTTAAAAGTTTCGTCAGCATGTCCAATCCACCTCAATTTTCTTCTGCATATTCGTTGGGCAATGAATCCATTATTGCTAGCACTTTATTAAGAGCAAAGGCGGCATCCCACCTAGTTTACTAGCTGATCCTAAGCTCCGAAAAAAGAGTGAAAGTTGGAAGTGAGGCTAGCAAACCTACCCAGGGAAATCAACCCAATCACAAAATAACTAATCATTCTCAATTTTAAGTCTTCTTCAGCATCAATTCTTAATCATAACAATTATTATTATCATTGTGTTGACTTTTATTTTCACAATTATATTCCTTATTTCTACCAAAATAAAAAAAGATAAATCAAGAGAAAAACACACATACACACACGATCACTTATTCATAATCCCAAAAATACGCGTGCACACACACGCACACATGAAAGATGAAGTTTTCTTACACTGATATAAAGAAGCCTTATCTAGACTAGTTTTCAACTTTCAATCGAAAAATTGTAACTGATTGATTACTCTGTTGTTATCATTATTATTACTATTATTATCGTCATCACAAAAAGAACAAACAAAACGATCTTATTTATACAAAATGCGACAGACAGACAATGAATGAATGGATGAAGGAATGAGTGCGTGAGCTATCGTGTACAAGATGTTATCGTTCTCTCCCCTCCCCTCCGTAAACTTCTTTCTTTTTCCACTCTCGTTATTTATTTCAACAAATAATTGTAGACATTTTCTTTCAGTGTATGACATAAGTATTACGTAATTGACTGTATGATTTCTTCAGATTGTATTGACTGCAATACAAATGTCTTTATTGCTAAGACTATGAGGTCATAATTTGTGTGGGAAATGGTATATTTGTAGTCAGTTTCAAGGATTTTAAAACGGATCAACGCCATGGTTAACTTGACACAACAGAAAGATTTCATCAGTCAAAAAGGTTTAGTACTGTTGTTTATTAATGACTGGAGACTGTTAGTGAGAGGGCTGAAAAATCGTTTGTAAGGGTACAGATATATTGATTCATTGTTATCACCTGCTGTCCATTGAAGCTAGATATGTCGACCATACTCAACTCAGTGCGTTTGCCATTTATTCATCAAACGTATTGTCGAAATATTTACCTTCAGGGTTTATTGAGAGGAGCGATCCTCCCTGTCTTGTATCTCAAGTGAATCATTTTGATGTTATCTTTTGAATAGGGTGATTTAATTGTTAAGCCTTCCCTTCTACAGAACCCCAACTGATAGCATAGGGATCGGGCTTGTATATCTCAATGATCCAAATAACTACACTGATTGAAACAAATGTTCGTGTATGTCATACCATATCAGAAAGATTGCTTACAGGGCGGTTAGACCAAACGGAGTTACACCTACACTTGGATGTCTGGAGGTTAAGTCCCACCGCTGGTGAATAGATGTTTGCCTCAGACGACCATCAGATCAGCTGTGATGCATCTATTCACTGGGTAGGGAGGGAGATTTGGAAAAGATCGGTCCCAAAAATTGTACATGTCCTAGAAGATTGTCTTTAAGACTCTCTCGTCAAGCAACACTTATGATCTTCTAGACAACATCTTCAGCCCTAACTTCATTTTGAAGGAAAGTGAGAGCATAGAAATAAAATCATCCAGCTTAGGGAACACAAGAATTCTATACAAACATCACCTTATGTAATGTGTACAACACATAATTGATAAAGTAATTCAAAATACATGTTCCAAAGAGGTGAAAGTATGAGAATCGGAGGTCAAACATTAACTTAATATGATCCTGTTTAACATGAAGTACATCAATCAAGGGGGTAATATGAGTTGAAAAATTATTTTTAGAAAAAAACAAACATAAATCTTTTCAAGGCTACACAAATTGAAAGTGATTTTATGACTTGATTAGAGGCTATTTATCATGTTTGTCACCTCAAAATATTATTGTGTAATTATATTAATTAACTTGGTGCAAATTTCAGCTAAGCTACTATCCATCCTACTACTGAAACATTGATAAGAAAATAGACTACTACTGGATTAACTTTGTCGAACTTAACTAATGTGAAACACTTTGACTAATGTCATCTTGTTGTTAAAAGCTACACAACAGCCGGAAAAATTACGCCTGGGTTACATATATGTTGACGCTAACCTGTAAGGTGTATTCAACATCTTAAGTGACGTCACATAATGAGCTAATTAGAAGGTACACGTAAACTCTTACATCAAACAATAACTATCTGCTAATTATACATTTCTATTTGACCCTGTTAAAGTTACATCAACAAATTAAGGTGTTTCACGCATTTTTCTAATAGATCAAAAGATCCGATCAAAAATTAATTTGATAAGAAATCATTTCAAAGAGTGAGTGAGTGAAACAACTGTCAAGCTTCTTTCCATAAGCGAAAAAAACGTGATACTCTGTGTTAAGATTTAGAAAATCAGGCTCTTTATGGAGTGATTGACTGATACACACACACACACAGACAACCAAGTTTTTATGTAGGCAAAAAAGAAAAGACGAAGACAAAGATACAATCATGCTTACCATATGTTGTCTTGTCAATTTTTTCCGGGGGAACACACTCCATCTAAAATAAGCACGGTATACAAAAACAAACCCATAATAAACAAGTTGAAAAGATAACAGAAACGTAATAAACGAACCAGATAATTATGAAATATATACAAAAACATTTCTATGCTATTCTCGATACCTAACGCATAACAACAGAATAACAGGGTGGTACACTCCCCTTTATCTACTGACGCAGTAAGCGTATGGTAGTATGATTATTAACACGTCTAAATGAAGACGAAGCTTACCATGCTCTTGGTTACATTGAAGCATTTAAGGAAATGGCCATCTATGGAATCTGAAAGCAACGTGAACGATGAACAACGGCGTTCTCACCAACATTAACAATGAAAATGTGTAACTTCTTCTGATGACGTATAGAGGGCGGGTGTACTGCTCATCAGTCCACTCCGTCCTCCTTTATGGCTGTGAGACCTGGCCACTGAGAGTGGAAGACACGAAAAGATTAGCTGTCTTTGATCATAGGTGTCTGCGTTCTATCTCCTGTGTGAAGTGGCATAATAAGGTGAGCAATATTCAGGTTAGGCGTCGAGTGCTAGGTAAGAAGAAGAAATCAATCGACGAGGTTGTGAATTTACATCGACTGAGATGGTTAGAACATGCGTTACGTACGCTTAGTCATCGCCTTCCTCGACGGGCAATGTTAGCTGATATAGGGTCAGGCTGGAAAAGACTAGCGGCGGTCAAACAAAAACATGGCACCAGTCAATGAAATCTACAACAGTTAGTCTAAGCCAGCCACGTAGGAAGTTGTAGACTGGCTTCCTGGTTGGGGTCCTTGGGACGGTAAAAACAAATGGTTGGAAACAATCGGTGATATGGCTCAAAATCGTTCTCAATGGCTAGCGTAGATGCATCCACTCCTTGTGATTTATGATTTCCAATGAAACTGTTTTGTTCTTCGTTATTACTATTCCTTTGTCTCACATCTCTGTTTACTGTCTCTAATATGCATTTCTTCTACTTTCTTCTCTTGCTTTGTGTGCTACATGGAGGGAGTGTGGCGAATTGAACTCCCGCACATATGTGCAAAGTTCTATGTCGAAAATAGACAATCTTTCCGGTTGAGCTATGGACCTGATTTTACAGCCGACAAATGATCTATAGATGTATGAAGGATAAACTGCCGCTCTAGGCCACTGATATGTGTTTATAAATACTCCTGCTCCTGTGGAGCTAGTTATATTCGTCGCCAGCCGATGAATTCTAACTTCTGCCAATTCATGACATAGTGCGACCACTTCACAATGTCTTCTTCAGTGAGTTACTACCTCACCTTTAACCTGATGTATCCTACGGGTCACGGCTTCCCAAGAGAACCCCACTTTAACCACCCGAATAGGGCCAGTCTCTAGTGAGCATCAGAGTAGTGGTTTTGTAGGGATTTTGTTTGAATGATTTGTTTGGTTTTCTTCTTCTTTCTTACCTTCCAAATGCATCACATAAGGCTTTAAGTGTGGGGATTTTGAAGTGTCAATACCGATGGTGTTGTTATAACTCTCCTAACTTAAGCTTCCTACCGTTCTGGGCTTACAGACGACTTATGAACTAGGCGAGGTTTAGGAATACGCTGGCAAGGAATCGAACCCTAACACTCTACAAGTGAACCACTGACGAAGGGAAAGAAAAGTGCCAATGGTTTCTAACTGAAGTCAGCTCATGATGAAATCCTGTAAATAATTGAAATCATTGTTCAGAGGCTAAAAAATAAATTAACGAATTACGTTTACCTGTTTTGTCTACAATCAGAGTCTACAGATGATACATCTGTTCATTCTCTCTTATGCATCGTATTTGGTGTAGTTATAATATAAGAGATTTCAGGGAGGGGGGAGTCAATCTTATTCACTTTGTACAATTATTAAACTACCAATGACTTCCAGGTACATCGGTGGACAGCGGTAGAATACTCGCCAACCACGCATGTTGGTCGGGGTTGGATCCCCGGCAGACGCACTCGTTTACCTCGCTAAGCCTCGCATACAATGGTGGAGGAGTTAGTTAATAAGGACAGAGGTGAGTAAGAGGATAAGTAACTAATAAAGTGAGAAATAAATTGGTGGGTCCTAGTCAAATCATAGAGGAACAAGAGACGTGCAAAGCTTCACTGTGTTAATGAGGAAAGGTTAAGGCAAAGATTACGTAATCAAACGGAGACAAAAAAGGTATCCAGTTACCAGGACATATAAAGACTGATAACTGCTTCTTTCTGGACACATGAGTTGGATTCCAGGCGTTTGGTAGCGATTGCTTCGGCAAACTGGGGGAGAATTGAATTATTCTGTCGTCTACTGAGAATTTCAAGGGATTTCGCAGTATCTCGTCATGACCCACATTGATGAGGTGTCTGGTATTGGCACAATTACAAGCATTTATTCCCTTGAGATATAGGCTTTTTGTTACATGTTCATAAAATTGAAGGTGTGCCCTTCTTTCTCTTCTTTCAATGTAACTGCTACCAGAGATACATGTAAACTTGTGTACACAATTAGAGTTGACACGATAAGGTTATCTGTCGACTTTTGATAGCATCAAAGAGCATGTTGTCCGATAAACAGGAATCCATTAAGCTGCAAGATAGGTTCTGGCTAGTGAGGTATTCAATCTTCTATTAACTATTTCTGCAGTATTATCACCTTTAAAATCGAGTAGAATGAAGATGGACATCCCCCCCTGTGACCTGTGTGGCTTTTGAACCTTCACACCTTCCGTACTTGTTAATGAATTTCTGAGGGTAACCGTTTTTTTCAACATCTTTCCGAAAATGAAAAATTCTTCCCTAATTTTTCTGTAGAGCATATTCTCCTAACCCTATAAGGCAGACTTCTGACCAGTGCTCGTTTATAGCTATTTGAGCAGAAACTATTAAGATGTAAGTATTGTCCGTTCCATGTAGGCTTTCATTAAGTCGACCTCTGGAGACTACCATCTCGCAGGCGTTGCATGCCAATGTCAAGGAAATGAGGCTTTCCATCATTTTCATGTTATATGGTGAATTCAATATTCGTGTGTGCGTCGTTCACTAATCCGACTAAGTAGAAAACATGTCTTTCATTGTTAAGAAAAGAGGGGAAGTCAACCTAAGAAGCAGTGAAGCTGTATCGATGAGGATGGCTAGAGGACGTGTTACACATGCCAAGCCATGGCCTCCCTTGCGGATTAATGTTAAATGACATACGATTTTCTAGTATTGGTTTTGTAAGGTTATTGTTTAACTGGTCGGAGGATTTCACCATGTGCTGACATCGGTTAGAGAACCATTGGAAAACCAACTGGGAAGTATTGGACAGCCGTTTCGCCAGCCTAGTTTGGGACTCTTCATCAGTACGCACCCAAAGTGTGTGATTCGAACCCAGAGTCGTCTGCCTACAAGGCTAGCGAGCTAGCTCGTAGACCATTAAGCCACTGGGACCCGATCCAACGGCCAGCCGATGAATTCTAACTTCTGCCAATTCATGACTTGGAGCGACCACTTTGCAATGTCTTCTTCGATGAGTTACTGCCTCACCTTCAACCTACTGTACCTTACTGGTCACGTCTTCCCTCTAGAACCCCAGGTTAACTGCCTGAATAGAGCCAGTCGCTAGTGAGCATCAGATTAATTTTCAAGTAGTAGTTTTGTAAGAATTCTGTTTGATTGGTTGGAGGATTTCATCATGAGCTGACATAAGTTATTTGTTTGGTTAAGATTTGGGAGTGATGAAACCAAAACATAGAATCAATCCATCAAGTATTTGACGACTGATTTGTTCCATGTGGGAAAATGTGGACTGTGTGACTGTGATCCTCGAGATGCGAAGGAGAAGTGGGTGAAGACTTTTGGTGCCTTTGAGAAAAGTCGTTGTTAATGGTTCTCATACATTCGCTCTTTATGAACTATGAGATCTATTAAATTCTAAGTATTCTCCGTGTACTTATTTTTATTCCGTAAATTTCTGTTTTTTATGGGGTTTTTTCAGTACCTTTATCTCCTCTTTGATAAAGTGTGGCAACTTGAGCTGCTGGCTTTTTTTGCAAACTTCTCCATTGAAAACTAAATCTCAGTCTGTACATGTGGTGCTTTGTCTGATTGGTATAGGGACTGGCCTTCCAACCACTTGGTCATGGGTTCGAAACCTGCTCCACCTTCCGAGGTTTAGATAACTACCTCATTGTCGGCTGAGTAGGCAAATATGCAAGTGGTTATCAAACTCCACTCTTCACCATCTTTTTTGGTGAATCTGATAGATTCATTGCAGTTTGTTTGCAAAAGTAGGCTTTAATTGACTCAAGATGGATTAATGTAAATAAAGTATTGAGCGGATTAATGGTAATTAGCGATATCACGGTTACTGATAATGCTAATCATATGAAGTGAATGAGTAATTAGACGTAATTAAATTTCTAAAAGAATTTACATTAAGCTGTAACAGGTTGTTACTTGTGTGATTGTTTTGATAGTGTGAAGAGTTCTTGTTTAATAATTACATGTTGACAACAAATACGCCAACATAAGAATAATATAGAAAATTTAAGCTGAATGATGTAAATAATGGACGTAATTATAAATAAAAACACAGCTTTTTGTTCAGCGAGGAAATTTCTTTTCTGCGACTTCATTTTCAAGCTGTACAGTCGTATTTATATTACAGGAAAAGGTTATTAAGTGGCGCTAAATAATTGCTCAGTCAATAAACATATGTATGTGATAAGAATTATGTAAGTTTACTTTGAAAGATACATTTGAACTTTTTGACTGTCTTGTAGATATGAACATAAAAGATAGGAAGATGTATTCATTCGACGTTAATTCTTTGTTTACTAATGTACCGCTGGTTAAGACTGTTGATATTCTTTGTGAATATATATCTTCTAGTTGTTTTTCATTTCCTTTTCCTTTAATTCATTTGAAAGATTTATTATTATTATGTACTGACAACGTCCATTTCATGTTTGAAGCCGAACATTTTCGACAAGTGGATGGCGTTGCTATGAGGAGTCCATTAGGACCTT